GGGGGGGGCACTAATCAGAACAAGGAGATCGTTCTCCGATGGTAAGGTGCGCATTTTGTTCCCACAGTCGAATAATTACACCCTTTCTCGACGAAAAGACACACTTATTCCGCTACTACCCACCCTAACCTCGGGTGAGGGAGTTCAGAAGAGGGCTCCCGTCGTGCGTCCCCGAGGTGGGAGCAATTATTTTCCTGTTCGCATCTCACTCTCACCCCCCCCCCCCCCCCCCCCCAGCAGGTGCTTTGCTGCTCATAGTCGCGGTGCACTGGGTCATATGCTTGTCGGGGACTCCCCCCTCCCCCTCCCCCACCTCGAGCGAATATCGACATAAGCACCATGAACTTCTTGCTCTCCGCCCGCCCTTGGCGTGCTCTGCCGCTCCAGCGAGGGGCAGGGCGACGGCGGCGGCTGTAGCGGGGGTGGCGGTGTTGGCAGCAGCGGTGGGGGTGGCGCAGCCGACGCCGCCATGGCATCGGTTTACTCGGTGCGCTCAATTTACGGCGGCCTGGTCTGCCTCTCATGAACCTCATGAATGAGCACCCAAGGTCGCGGCGCTTATGCCTCCCCGACTCGTTCTCGCGCCGCGTGGCGACCTCACATCTATGGAAACTACTGTATATATCACGGCGAGACGTCATCCATCTTTTATTGATGTCGTACGTTTACTGTTTCATTGGTAGTACTCGTTATAATTGCTGATATTATTCTGTATCTCTTCAGGACGGCGGGACGCCCCTGTTCGTGTCCTGCCAGTGCGGTCACCTGGACGTCGCCAAGGAGCTCATCAACCGCGGCGCCAACGTCAACGCCCACATGAAGGTGAGTTTGCGTGGGTTGGTTGGCTGCGCCGCGGTGGTAGGCAGCCCATCCCGCGCGGCGCCGCGACGCCCGCCCGTGTCCCCGCCCGCGCCCCCGCCCGTGCCCCCGCCCGCGCCCTCATACACACGCACGCCTGGCCTCATGTCTTGATTGCTACCAGATGCGCGCAGGGAGGGCTGGGCCCGGGGCCCTCCACCGCGAAGCGTCCAGCTAGGGCTGTGCGATGCGCCCAGATATTAATGTGCCGCGACACGATATCGACCAGACCACGTCGAACATATCACCTTGGTGCATCGAATCTCGATAATATCGAGCATTCTAAATACCGCAATAATATCGAAAAAGTATCGTGGCGACGTCAAGACGGTATCGTATCTGTATACACTAAATAATGTAAAAGGACAATTTTGTTAGTAAAAAGCGAAAGTTTTCGTGCGCATCAAAACTGCATACAGTTCGTCTAGTTTTAGGAATCACATTGTCCCTTAACGTTTAGATTAGAGTGTATTGAGATGTGTAGCACAACCCTAGTCGAGTCGAGGCCGCCGTGCGAAAGCAGATTGCGGATAAAACACGGCTGCTGTGTGACTCACCCATGCATTCCCTCCGCTCTGCTGACCTTCCTCCAGGACCGCGCCACGCCGCTGTTCATGGCGTCACAGAACGGCCACGGCCGCGTGGTGCTGCTGCTGCTGGAGCACGGCGCCGCGGTGGACGCCCGGCGCACGGACGGCGCCACCCCGCTGTGGATCTCGGCGCAGATGGGCCACGAGCGGATCGTGCGCGTGCTGCTGCGGCAGGGCGCCGCCGTGGACACCACCAGACACGTAAGTGTGCTCCTTGTGCACCGAGCTGGCAGTACTCCAGGTGCTCTCCGGGTGTGCTCTCTCTAGGTGTACTCTGGGTGTGTCCGGGTGTACTTTAAGTGTAGTCCGGGTGTACTCTGGGTGTACTCCGGGTGTACTCTGGGTGTACTCTAAGTGTTCTCCGGGTGTGCTCCGCGTACTCCAGGTGTACTCCTGTGTCCTCCCAAAATTCGAGTCGTTGACCCATCCGTCGCTTTCATGTCTTCTTTTCATGCTGCCTGCAGGACGGCGCCACTCCGCTGTTCAAGGCGGCGCACAAGGGACACACCACCGTGGTGGACGAGCTGCTGCAGTACAGGCCCAGCCTCAATCTGCTGCCGGTGAGTAAAGGCACACATTCATGATGCTGTCATGTCCAACTGTCCGTATCGCCGAACGACCCGTTATCATCACGACTTCCCGCAGAACGGTGAGAGCGCCCTGCACGCCGCCGCGCTCTTCGGCCACCTCGCCGTCGTCCGCAAGCTCCTGGCGGCCGGGAGCGACCCGTCGCTTCGCAACCAGGAGGGGATGACGGCCGCACAGCTCGCCGCCGACAACAAGCACCGCGCCGTGGTGGACCTGCTCACCCACGCCGCGCGCAGCTAGCACAGCCAGCCCCTTCCACTGCCGTCATACCGCCGTCCGAAATGATATGATATGAAATGGGGAGGGAATGCAATATTTTCTGATATTTTTGTACTTGGCTGTTTTTATTACGATGAACCGCCGGTTCCATTCCGTGCGGTCCGCCGTGTACAGCTTTGCAAACGTGATGGCCTTGTGAAGTATTATTGTTGCTAAGTTTATGTGTAATTGTTCGTATTTGACTTATTTATGAATTGTTTAATTATGTTCGTTGTTACGTTAAGAGTTATTTTCCCCCCTGCGTGGGGGGTGTAGTACTTTGAGGAATGAGATGTGGAACATCAAGTCTAGTCTTGTAACGCTCCAATCGTCGCATTGGCGCGCGTCTGGGATGGAGTTCGAAAGGGACCATGCCTCCTCTCCGCCCATTCGTTTATGTAATTCGTGTATAGGGTCGAGCTCACAGATCTTCTTCCATATCGTTAACTGCTGGGCCGCTTTTGGACAATCGGTCTTTTTGCGAAACTCCGCACTCCAGACATTTCAAAAATTTATATCCTTCTATGAATCATCTTTTCTTCCTGGCACAAAACTTACCCGATCGTTCTGTTTTGTTTGTGTGACTGCAATAATTTTAGTAAACGTTATGACCTTCGTTAATAAAGAATGTTATTGTTGAACTGGCGTGGACTTTCGACTCTTTTCGGTCCCCGAGATTGCGGCCGGCTGACCCACACGGATCCCCTTCGAAGCCATGCACACGTTATGCGGCAATGCGCGCCGTGACTCGTGACTTTCATTGAAATGCGGAGCTGAAAAACTCGTCACACGGGCCGCGCCCGAGCTCGCCGCCGGAGCGCGCCGGAGTGCCTGCGTGGGTAGGCCAGCCCGCCAGTCACGCGTGCGCTGCAGCGCTGGGATTGCCTACCCACCAGGCGCTCGGCTCGCAGTCACGGCAGTGGTGTGACGCGGAGCCACTGCTCACGGCGCGCGATGCGCTCGGAGGGCTGCCAAGAGGCACTCGTCTTGTGTGTGATGATGCTATCGGCCTGCCGCGCCCAAACAGCAGGATCCTGCCGAGGCCGAGGAGGCCCCCCAGAGGCCTTGCTGCTGCTGCCCCCTGTTTCTGTTTGGACCGCTGCTGCTCATCTGTAAGTGCGACTCACGACCGCAGGACGAGCAGCAGGCGGCGGTTGGTGGCGACATGCGGGCTGAAAAAACACGAAAAGGGCGCTGCGAGCGTGTCAGTGTGTGTGTGTGCACGCCCGTCGGTGTGAGTGCCCCACTATTGGTCGGGCTGTGGCTGCGGGGGGCGGGGGCACCAAGTGCTAGATTAATGACTCACATGTCGGGATGGGAGTCGACGGACGCCGTGAGCCGCCGGCCGGACAGACTGCGAGTCTGCAAAGAGAGTCCTCTGGTGCGCGGCGCCGGCCACAGCGCGCCAGTGCAGCCCCGGCCAGCAGCCGCAGAGGAGAGGGAGGCCTCCAGCAGCACCCGCCTGTCTCTCGCATTCGCGCCGCGTAGCACCGCGCGTCCGTCCCCTGGCGCTCTGCCGCGAGCCGCCGCCGCGCCCAGCAGCTCGTATCGTAAAGCCTCTCCTCCTGGCTGACCTCCCCGCGGCTGTCCCCGCTCGCGCGCCCTCGCCTCCTCAGTGCAGCAGCACCGCGCGCGCCTTTCGCGCGTACCCACCGGTCCAGGAGGACATCGCCGCCCTCGCCAGTCGCCGCAGCGCCCCGGGATGGTGTCCGCGCGCCCCGCGGTCGCGCTCACGGGCGCCGTCCTCTTCATCGCCGTCCTGCTGAGTGGCAGCGGCGGCGGAGCAGCTGCCCTTACGACCTTCGGCAAGGCGCTACCCGGTGAGGCTTTATTCCAAATGCTCTTAGACCAACCGGTTCCATCGAGCCTCCGGGGCTGCTTTTTAATTGTGGTTGCGTGTTACCAGCGTGCCCGCCGGAGAAATTCGATTGCCAGAACGGCAAGTGTATCTCGGGGTCACGGTGGTGCGACGGTATCGACAACTGTGGAAACAACGCAGATGAGCTGTCTTGTCGGAGTGAGTATGACAGTCTCTTCCCCTCTACCCCTTATAACGCTTCTGCCTTAGTTGTATGGGTCTGGGGTGATTTTTACTCGTTCTTTACCTCCACTCTCACTTCCCTCTTGGAGGTGGGAGAACGAGTATTGTGCTTGGTCTGTTTTTTTTTTGTTTTTTTTTCATTTCCTGTTCATGAAATTTCCTAAAGTATAAAATTAGTGGTGGTGAAAAATGCAAACCAATCTTTTTCAAGACTTGCGTTTTGGGGACGAGAGGCAGAACCTCCTGGGTTCTAACTCTGCACGTTTAACGCAAGGTGGTGATCCGGCAGTGGGATGACTTCCTCCACGCGGCTGCCAGTGGGCGTGGGAGTCTCTTGCAAACGGGTGTAAATATACCCCTTCACGTTCCTGCACAATGAGGTAGGGCTTTCTTAGAACAACTTGCACACTGCTCATTTCTCTTTTTACATTTTTGTTATAGTATGCCTTAGTGGGTCATTGAAATGTAAAGGATCGAATCAATGTGTCCCGTCTGGAGCAAGATGTAATGGCCAAATAGAGTGCCAAGATAAATCTGACGAGCTTGGCTGCGAGACAGTAGTCACAGGTATTTTTAAAATTAAAAAACTATTTTGGGTATGACACTTTGTGTAAAACTACATTTTTGCTCCTAACTGTTCAAATTGTGTTTCACAGAGGCAGCTACAACAGTGTCAACATACTCAAAGCCGCAAGAAGTGACAAATAAGGCGTCAAATAAGTTGATTTCTGATACTATATTGTTGGTAACATTGGTCTATTTTACCATTTAAGACAATTACTTTTTTTTTTACTGTTTTAATTAGTTCATTAAATGGTTGCAAAAGATATGTAATACATCACATTTGACATTAATGTTAAGATAAAAAATATAACTTACAATATTAAACATTTGACAGAACCAATAAATAAAATTGAATGCAATTAATACCCGTCGTTTGTCCAGGAAACATTGTAGTCAGGGTAGTCTTTCTTAATGAGATTAGTAGTTATTTCATGATCAGCCCGGCCATAGCCTTGAGAATACCCATACACCTTAAGTTTCTTTTCAGCAGGGTTGTGCTCAATTCGCCCTCCACCGACACATTCAGTTTCAAAGCCAAGTTTCTCAATTTTCTCTTGAGTCTCTTCATAGATGTCAGCATGAAACGCTCCCCACTTAAATCCACGTACAATCAGCTTCTCTCTTTCATCAACAACTTCTTCTTTCCTATGCACCTTGATAAGCACATATTTGAAAACTCCTTCACTGTCGATGAGAACGGTTGGGATAGATTTCAAGATTTCTTCCATCACTGAAAATAAACGGAATTGTTGTAGCTTAGGAGCTGAAAATGTAGTTGACAAGCTGATCTTGAACATTTGATAAATGTCTGTAATTTAGGTTAAGACACATGAGTATCTTCAAAATAGAACTAATTTGAGAAAAATAATAGAGCACTCGAGGATAACCAAACTGTACGCACATCATGTTAGAATTTTATGTAAGAGTTTCGAAATAATTTACCGTTTATGGGTTTAAGATGAAAACTTTAAAAACGTCAGCCGGCTTTGTAAACTCCAACTTGTCTGCTTCTGCTTCGAGTGGGAAGCAATGAAGCAAAGCAAAGCAAAGAGCAGCAAAAAGCAAGGTGGATAGAGGAGCAGAAAAGATTCACCGCCAGGAGGCGCTATGGTCGTGGAAATACACCGCTATGTATGCAAGCGGGCAGATTTGAAAACTTAAACGCAGCGTTCGTGGCTCAAGAAGGCCCAAGGAACTTTTTATTGAGTTGGGGTAGTATACGAGAAAAGCAGAAGATAAAGAGATAAGGGCTCTCTGTGGACTGTATTTTAACACTGTTTTGACTTTTTTTCCTGAGGCTTTTTTGGCATGAGTTTTTAAGTTTTCAACTTTTAAGTGGAATCTCAGAGCTGTTATTTTGTGTCTCACGGAACAGAAAAAGTGTCTTTCTGATGTCAAAATGACTCCCTCGATGTCAGATGACATCACATAACGTCAGTGACCTTCGCCTCTCGTCCCCAGGCCCCGGGCAGGGCGGGCCGGCGACTCCACACAGCTGTTCAACGGGTTGGCCTACCCAGCGCGTTGCAGGCGCTACCCATCATTTGACTGGAGCCTAATGTGCCACGTGCTTCGGCGTGTATCCCAATCAGAGTGTTATGATTTTATTATTGCTCACATAGTGTGGTGCGTACCGAAGCAAACACTGAGTCCTCCGCTAGTCAACTTGCCAATGTCACAACGAGGTAGCTCAGCTCATATACCAGAAAAGACAGAGATGATGGAAGGACACATGAACCCGCATGACGTCTACTCGTGCGTTTCACGACAACTAACGATGACTGAGGATCTATGTCTTCGACCCCAACATGAGTGGCGTCGCTGACAGGAAACACATTCAATGGTTTTACAACTTCAATTCCAATAGAATAAAAGGCAATGCATAGACTTGTCAAATGAATTTTATCCATTTGACAAATATAACGCGACACATTCTCCAGAATTTGAGATCAAATGCATCTTCAATATTTACTTCAAAACTTATCACAAAACACAGCTTTTGCGGCGAACTTCAATAATTTATTACGTCATTTATAAAACAACAACAAAGAGAATAGATTCTACTTATATTAAAATTGGAAAACATTATAAAAAATACTTTTTTTTTTAAATATGTATGACATAGTAATTATTTTGATTAGATTTGTAGTCATCAGGTAGAATTTTTAAGCTCAAGGACCTGAGGAGTGGACTATTCAATGACACTAAACTTCTTCAACAAAAAATGAAGTTATTGCTACTTTAGAAGTTTTCTGAGTTTTAACAATTTAAAATATAGTTCATTATATAGCAGTATTACTTGCTTATCCTCAGACACATCAACATGAACTGTGAATTCTTTTTACAAGATGATATTTGCAGTCTTATGAGGGCAGTCTCAAGAGTACAAATACAGGGATCTAGTAGCTTTTACAGTTTACGAGACAAACCGGGCAAATCAGAAACTACTCAGAAACAAACCAAATTCAAAACAATTTTGCACGTAAGTTCAATAACATAAATATTCCCAGCACTGTACTATTTGAATCAAGTGAATACTTCTTTACCATGCAAGATCCAGCTCACAATTAGTTGAGTACTCAGTCTTCAATTTAAGAAAAATTTACCTGGCAATCAAACTTAATAGGCCACTGCTATAATATTTTGTTGATTAAGATTTGATAACACCAGTAGCAAATAAAACGACAACAGTTACGAAGATGAGAAATAATATTACAATAACTATCCACATTTTCAGATTACGACATCGTGATTGAACAAACACAGCACGAGCTTCACGTCGAAAATCTTGACCCTGTAATGTAATGGGCAATAATAAGAAACCTGTGACCTACAGTATATTTTCAGAGTGAAATTCCACTATACAACAGTAATAAAAAAACTTACCTGGGACTCTAGCTCTTCAGTTTTAGACAGCAAATCGTCAAGGCGCTCTCCACGATTCATTACTCTCTCGACATTGTGAATCATGATTTGTTTGACGTCCTCAATTTGCTCCTCAACTTGAGATAACTTATCTGCACGTCCAGAATTGAAGTCATCCTATGGTGTAAAAAATTATTGAGGATAATACCACGAAATATGTTAAAAGTTAAGTTTGAAAATTGAAGGAACTGACCAGTATTTGCACTAAAACCGGTCTGAAATCTCTGTCAAACTCATCTTCACCAGCACGATATGATCGGCTAATGAGGCTAGGTTGTTCCGAAAATGTATCCCTCACACGGAGAAGGAAAGCAAAGGGCAAGTATTGACTTTCTGTGCGTGTTGTTATGCACAAGTATATGATGCCTTTATCTGCCACGACATGAACTTGCAAACTGCAACATTTAGACCATTTTATTACACTATTCTATACAGCAAGTAAGTATACTATTCACTATCACATACCTGTCCATAGGAAACGTTAATTTTTGTTCAAAAGACGATTGTTCTAGGTTTTTAATGGACTCCTTAACTTCCTTGAGAGTTGCATTTAAATCAACACTGTCATCATCTTGATGAGAAACTAGAGTAATATCTCTATTAAGAATGGCACTATAAATAATTTTTAGTCTTGGTTGACGTGCCATCGTTATTTCACTTCAACGTTAGCTCCTGGCTCACTAAACTCATAGAGGTTTACGAAACAGGACTTTCTAGTCTTATCAACAAGTGTCCTTCCTTCCAGCTGTCAGTCCAACAAATACAAGAAATACACAGCGACTCTAAGGCAGAGACAAAATCACGGATGTACTGCAAATTTTTCATAAATCCAGTAAGTTCTGCCTTCTGCGTCTGCGTGCTGCCGTCTGTCTGTTATGTTGCTATACCTGCAAAAGTCACAAAAATGTTGGTCCATTTGATCTGAGAAAATGCACGGGAAGCCTTCAGTTTATTTATTCATATCTTAACACAAATATGGGATGCCTACTATTTGTAAGAATCGATTGAAGAAATAAAATTCTTAACCGTACAGAGTATTTCGGCATAAGAACTGAAGAAATGGTTAGCTAGTCTGTTAAGTTTCGAAGGTTATAATAACCTTCTGCTACATTTGGACGTAAGTGCTACCTGGTATTTTTATATTTTTTCCCCCGCAAAATTATGTTAAATCGAATGTGACACTAACTTTCTTTTCAGAAATCCGTGAAGATGGCAGAGTATACTGAATACGCATTCGGGATGCGAATGGATGCTAACTTTCCCAGTCTGAGTGCAGGTGTTACTCTCCCTAAAAAGGAAGTTTTAACATCTGATCAATCCCTGAAGGCTATTCGCACTCTAATAGCGTCAAAACCAGATGTCGGTGGGTACTTGGTACGAAGTACTTGCTGGATTTTGTTTTACAACCAAAATCTATCTAACTTGTGCACATTGACTTCCTTCGTTTCAGAATTTGCAAGAACTGACGATGACTTTTTGTTAAGATTTCTTCATGCTCGTAAGATGAATATCCAGGAGAGTTTTCAGCTGCTAGTTAATTACTATTCATATCGTCATCGTAACCGACATCTTTTCATTCATCTGAATGCTCAAGATGAATCCATTCAACAAGCTTTAAAGGATGGATTTCCTGGTGTCCTTCAACAGCGAGACAGGTTTGTGGATTGATAATGTTACCTGGAGAAGTTAAACTTCTATTACTCAATTGATCATTTCTCTGATAGCTGCTAATTGCCCTCTTGAAATATAAGAAGTCAGACTTTATTTTATCATTTGAAGTTTAATGACATCAAAATACCTAAAGACTATTTCTGATGATTAAATTGCCAGAAACACAACTTTGTAACTTTGGGCTAGATTTGGAGTCTCATGGCGCTAAATACCTCTTCAAGGTAACCAACCTCCAACGCATTTGTTTTAAGAGCATTACCAGAGGAATGACCTACTGAAAGTCATCTACTGTGTGGATATTATCCCTTTAATTTGACATCTTCATTTCATTTACTGTCAGGAAGGGACGATGTGTGTTGGTAATATTTACTGCACATTGGGATCATTGTAACTACTCATTGATTGCTGTGTACCGAGCTCTATTACTTACACTTGAGAAGCTTGTGGAAGAGAAACAAAATCAGGTTTGTTCATTATTCATTGACTTCCCAACTTTTATTTCTCCTGGTTTTACGAAGGATCTTCAGTTTAGTGATGAAAATTGTTTCTAATTACAGCTGAATGGATTTGTTGTTGTCGTGGACTGGACAGATTTTTCTTTTCGTCAATCTTCCAATCTGAATCCGAAAGTTCTAAAACTCATGATTGAGGGGCTTCAAGATTGCTTTCCAGCCCGCTTTAAAGGAATCCACTTTATTAATCAGCCATGGTATGTGGAGGCACTTCTGACTATGATTCGCCCTTTTCTGAAAGAAAAAACTAAAGAAAAGGTAGGCATATAAATAACTTCAATTGTATTTCCATTACTTATGCAACCAAAAATTAAAATCAATATGGTTTCTATCATTGTGAAATTGTTGTCAATAGATTTACATGCATGGAAATAACATGAGTACTCTTCATGAGTATGTTAGTAAGGATATCTTGCCAGCTGAACTTGGAGGAGAGGGACCTTCTTTTAATCCCACAGTATGGTCTGATAAACTTTTAGAGGAAAGTTTGAAAACATCAGAGGACCCTCAAAATGACACAACCTTAAATGAATCTAGAAGTGAGTCTCCCAGCAGTAGCTCAGACTCAGATGAGTCTGCAAAAAAAACTACCAATGTCCATGTGAGGTAAAGTTGTGTAACATTTATTTTAAATGAATGAAAGTCACTTAGATTTGTTCTAATACTTGGTTGCTTTATTTTATTTCAGGAAGTCTGAAACTGTTCCAGATACGTTGAGTGGTAATCAGTTTTTTAAAAAACCTCTGGCCCGGAAGGTCAGTCACACCATCACTCCAATTTCTTCCTCCACCGATAAATCTTAATAATGCATGTTACTATACATTGTTAATGACAATTACATAATCACAGGGACAGTTTGGATAGAAATTTTATGTTTGTGATGTACATTCCCATGTTGGACCAATGTAGGTTGTTTGTACCCACAGCCAAATGTTTACTAACTTGTCACATGAGTGCCAATCCCTTAATTTAAAAAAGAAGCAGTGTTTTGCATCTGACTGTTCATCAGTGTGATGGTGTTTATCCAGTCTTCCACTTTCGGAATTTTTGTGGTATGTGTAACCTGTAATATATTACAATGCTTTTATCTATCGCTATGCGTTATTTTGCACTATGTTTATTTGATGTGCAGAATAATGTTGACAGGTTGTGAGATAATTTAATCTTTGCTTACTGAATGTTTCTTCTGTATTATGGTGAGGTAATGTAGATCTGAGAGAATAGTGCAAGCAATTGTGACGATATTTGCCATTGCTCTATTTTTCATAATATTTTTAAACGCTTGTCTATTGACCTTTTGTTAAAAGTTAGAGGATGATTCTGCGGGCACCGTATTATTTTTTTTGGTTGGGTAGCAATTTTATATGTATTATTATACCCGTGATAACAGTAATTGCAATGAGTAATTGTTGATCATATAGATCTGAAAACTTGCACCCTTGTACTGTACTTGTATGGTACTGTCAAAGGATATGTGATGTGGTATCTTTTTATTCTTACAGGTATTTTTCTTTTAAGCTGAATATCTCTATTTTTGTTTTTTTTTGCACACTCTCTTCTTTAGGTAATCTCAAATATTACATTTTTTTTACTGTACCTATAATTTTTGATTGTGATGTATTTTAAACCATTTTATGGTAATGTGAAATTATTTGTGACGCCTAGTTTATTGTCCATATTTACAGTATTACCATTTTCTATCAAATTGACACTTTGTCTTTAAATATTTTTGTTGTTTTAACTGTAAGTGTTGCATTTGTTTCACTTTTATCTCTTTTAATGTTGTAGTTGTTTATTGATATGAGGTTGTGTTACCTTATTTTTGGTTTTGGTGCTTTTTTCTTTTTTGTTGATTTGTTGTTATAAAACAAATTCTATTTCCTTTCGACGGCTCCTTGCAACAACATCCTATCTGCAAATTGTGTCATCATTCCCCCTCCCTTCCGCTCACTTATCAACGACAGGTGAGAGGAGGTGAAGGGTTATGACGACACAATTTGCAGAAAGGATGTTGTTGCACAGAGCCGTGGTTTTGTTTGTTTGTTTTCCTTTTTCTTCTTTAGTGGCTTGTCTCTTGTTAAGTTTTTTTGCCAGTCTTTGTTGAGAAAATTCTAATGAAATTGAAAATTTCAAAAACACCGCAATTCAATAACTCTGTTGTTCATATGATTTTCTATTTGAGGTATTCCAATTGTACTGTGTTATGCCTGCCTGTGTAATGATGTAGAAACCTTGTTTTGATGGGCCTGAAGATTCATTTAGTTCCTATAGTTCTGGTATACCCCCTAAAATTAAGTAACTCCATTTTATGTCAAATTCTGTCAATCTCATTTTTCTTGTCATGTGTTGTATGTACTTAAGATGTGCAGTTTATTATTTTTTTAGACTTACATATTTAGGTCACTGCCTATGGCGTGGTTTTGCCCTACTATGACTCTTGATTTTAAATTATTTACCCATTTATTTATCGACTTGTATGTATTATCTTGTTGGTATGTTAGCCTCATCTTTAAGTGGATAATGCAGAGGTGGTGTCTAAATCTCCTAGTTGGATCCTTAAGAGGCTCTAGAAGCTTTTTTCAGTGGTGCAGGGCACAGCGTGCTTACGGGTGGACACTAGGGTATCTCTGACTGTCGAAACCTGATCATCTCTGTTTCTGGGTAATTTGTATACCCATGTGAATAAATATATGTATATTATAATTCCAGACTGCTTTTATAGTAGGAGCTATATGTTACCAGTATTGTGTGGCGTTGGCCTATTTGTTAATCCAATGCAGTGTGACGTTTAGTTTTTGCATGTACCTGAATTTGATTTGGTAGCAAATTTTCGCTGGCCTGGATTATCTGACCTATAGTACCCAGCAGGGTGTGTGTTGTTACACAACAATTGGAGCCTTCCTCCGTTTTAAAAGTACTTTCCAAGAATGGTTTTATTTTTTCTGCCCATCACTTTTTGGAAAAATATTCTATTCATAGTCTACAGGCTTTCAGACCAAAATTTAAATTGCTCTTCTCTTTTTCCCATGGCTTTGAATAAGGGAATTATTTGATTAAAGCTGGGAATTTTCAGTCTAAAAATGAGTTTCTCAAAAACTGAGAAACAGACCAAAAGATTAAAAAAAAAAAAAAAAAAATGCGCTTAGGACTGGTGACAGAGAAAACATTTACAATGTACATTTCAGTTGTTTCATGACACACCCGGGTGCTGGTCTTCTTGAAATAAAATCACATCAACCACATCAATGAACTTGTTTTTACTTTCTTCCAGCAACCACACATGGCTCTTCGAGGAGGCGGCTCCGATCGTCCGAAGCTCGTTTGTCCGAACCTAATTTATCTATTTTAGTAAATAAATTGAGTTAAGTAGTTAATTAATTACATTATGTTATTTCATTCAGTGGCAGCAGTTGTTGAAATAAGAGCTAAATCAAGTTCAGATACCATCAGGAGGGCAAACGAAGTGTCTAACTGCAGTTCCGGGGCTGGAAAAGGGTAAATGAAATAACTTACGCTATTTCGCTAACATAAGTAAACTAACTTATTTTTGAACAAGTCTTGGTTCGCGCCATTTCCCGCGCATTTCCCCACCGCGCGGGCGCGGCTCGCATTCCCCGCGCCTTTATGGAAACGTAAACAAACAGTGAAGATCGGCGTTTCTGCCAATTACCGATAATACCTACTCATATTATTATTGATCATAGGATTTTAACCAGAATTTTAGAGTGGACATCGCCGCTTTTCGTTATTAATCGCAAGGTATAGTGCTTGATTGTTTCCGGTCCGGAATATTGAATTGTTCCATTCCGAT